TTTCCCATACAAAATGCAGCTTCCACCACCAATGGTGTTTGGTTTGGGAGAACTTGGCCTCTCTATAATGGCCAAAGGAATCAGGATACTCAGCATTAATGCATCCCATCTTCAAAGCTGCATTCTTCCCCAGATCTCTTGGGCAATCTCTGGGGTCACTGCCAGGAAACTCGTTGGGGTACAACTGAATGCTAAAAGGAAAGAACACCTGCAGAACCGGACAGAAATCGACCCCAGCGATCAGGTGATTGATCTCTGTCGACCAGAAGTCATGACTAAAGATAACGAGGACGTTGTCAATGCCCTGGGCTTTTCGAAGTGAGTCCAGGAGCAGTTTGAGGTAATCCGGCCGGTTATGCACTTGAACCACCAGCACTAGCTCTCGGGGAGTCCAGGAGCCGGCCTTATCTACATTCCTCAGCGTCTGGTCAAAGTTCAGCTGGTACACCAGGGACCGGTACCGCAGCGTCAGGTTGTCCGCCTCGGGCTGGGGGGCCGCCGCGACCAAAGGAGCCGCCGACTCATTGGAGACCCGGCGGATGCCTACAGACACGGCGGGATGGTCCCCGCCCCGGCCACCCGCACCCCGTGCTGGCTCAGCATCCAGCAGTGGCGGGGCGAGGGCCTCGTTCTTCCTTTGTCGCCCATTGCTGCTCCAGAGGACGAAGCCGCAGGCGGCCACCACCAGCGTCAGGATCAGCACCTTCCGCTTGTAGATGCGGAACCTCATGGTCTCCAGGGCCGAGAGCGCAGGGAGGCGGTTGCGGAAAGGAGCTAGCGGCTTCTGCAAGGAAGGGGCGGGCCGGCGGCGGTAATCGCCTTGGCCTGCAGCAGTCGGAACTGGCCCCCGCGGCTACCCTCGCTAACTCATCCCCGGCCCCGGGAGTACTGGGGCCCGAAGGCGCTCAGCTTCCCTGCGCTGCCCGGGCTCCACACATCCTCGCCTGGCAGCTGCAGCTCCGGCAGCGGCCCCGCCGCTAAGAGCCGCGGCTCAGAGTCGCCTCGGTCCTCTCCATTCAGCATGGGTCCCGGAAGAAGCCCCGCCGCGGCCCTACTGCACCCCAGCTTCGTTACCTGCGCCTCCAGCGGCCCTGCGTCCTCTGCGCCCTCATCCTTACGCGGGCCACAGATGGCCAAGACAGAGTCACGCAGCCTTGCCGAACTCCGGCGGCTACCCTTCTGACAACCCACCACCCGCACGCCGAGCGCGGAGGCCCTCGGGCCCACACCCCTCTGGCCCGCCCCTTGGGTGATTGGTTGGCGCTTCCCCGACGCGTGCCCAGGTGCCCGGCCGTCGCTGCCTGCTGCCTATTGGTTCGTGGCCCTGTCGCTCAAGGTTCATTTCCTATTTCCGCTTCTTTCCTCCTTTTCCTGTTAGCCACGAGCGGAGCAAGGCAAGGGACGTGAACGCTGAGTTAACCGGTAAGCTAACATCGAGAGTGTAGTGGTTCCCACGGGAACTTCCATTGTTCAGAATTCGGGGAATGACTAGGCATTTGTAGGAAAAGGAGAGCGAGACCCACTGCCTTACCTGGGTAGAGTTTAAGAACTAATTTCTCCCTTCAGGAAAGGGGTTTTAAGCATGGCGGCTGCTGGGCCGCGAGGCACTTGTTTAAGGACACGTCAGCTTTCAGGGCGGCTGAGGGGTGATGGTTCTCTGGAGGGGAAAAGTGAAACCAGACTCCTGTGGTTCTCAGAGAAGGAACGAGGCGGGTCGTGGCAGTAGCTACTCCGCATACTGATCCAGGCTTACCAAGGAGCTGGAACATGGAGGAAGAGGGTACGAGAAAGAGTCGAAAAGAAACTCTAGCCTTAGCTCTCTCTCTGCGGAATAAAATTAAACACCACTACGCTTTTCTTCATGAGCAGTCACAGTAAAGTAATTCCCAGACCACGTTGTACTGGAACCCTATGCAGCTGCTTTTGATTTTTTTTTTTTAGTATCCTATAAATCCTCCAATAATTTAAGTATTCCAAAAAGGCGTTCACTTGGATGTCCATTTACGCACATGGAAAATGAGTACTTGGTGTATTTATACATTACTGATTCATGTGTTTTTCTATATTTGTAAAGCATTTTTACTTTTCAAAATGTTTAACGC